ACACACACACACACACACACACACACTTTCTCTTCCTTCCTTTTCCCACCAAGTCGGATGGGGTCCTTGCAAGGCCATCAGTACAGATACAACCGGCCCTTTGATGGGGACCAAACTGCTGATGCGGCCCCCGATGAATTTGAGTTTGACACCCCTGTCTTAATTCATCCCCTTCCTTTCTCTGTCTATCTGTTTACGAAAGTCCTCTTTTTGGGGGCTGATCCTTCCGCTCCTTGCCTCTTTTTCACCCTGGGAAGATTTCCAGCTGAGGGATTGACAGGAAGGGAAACACCCTCTCTCTGCAAGCAGAGGAAATGAAACTAACCAGTTCGCTGCCTTTTGGGTGGGACGAGAGATGGCTTCTGCTACCGTTCAGGATCTGTGTGAGGAAGCCACTTGCCCCATCTGCCTGGATTATTTCAAGGATCCGGTCACTATTGAATGTGGGCACAACTTCTGCCGAGCCTGCCTGACCCACTGCTGGGAGGGGTCCGAGGGGGAAGAGGTTTCCTGCCCTCAATGCAGAGAAAAAGTCCGAAGGAGCCTCTTCCCCAATCAGCAGCTGGGAAACTTTGTGGTTTTAAGCAAGAAGCTCCGTCTTCAAGAGGAAACGATCGCTGAGAGCAAGGAGGGAGCCTGTGGGAAGCACCGGGAGCCCCTGAAGCTCTTCTGTAAGGATGATGAAGCCCCCATCTGTGTGGTGTGTGACAGATCCAGAGAACACAGGGATCACCAGGTGGTTCCTCTGGAAGAAGCAGCCCAGAACTACAAGGTAGCAAGAGTGGTGGTAGAAATAATTGGGGGGGGGCAGGGGATGGGGAGTCTGTGATGTCTCTGGATTGCTGACTGTGGTTTTTCTATGCATACATTTAAAGAAATGCCAGGTTTAGGGGAGGGTGACATATGCCCTTCTTGTCTCTTTCTCCCCCCCAATGGACACCCCTGGTAAGGAGGATGAAATTTGGACCAGGGGGTGAAATCGTTGTGCATCTTGCCTGAAACGTTTTCTGCTGATTCTGTCTTCGAACAGATTCCCAGAGCCCAGCAAGACATGATTTCCAGCCCAAGGTTTTCCTTATGAGTAGAGGTTGGGGCAGGCCTGGATTAATAATGGGGCAATGGGGGAAACTGACGGTGGGACCCTGCCAGAAGGCTGGACTTCTATATACAATATATAGAAGTCCAGCTTCTATAATACAGTGGTGCCTCGCTTAATGAGTGCACCGTATAACGACGAATCCGCATAGCGATCCCTTTTCGGGATCGCTAATGCAGAGGCATAGCGTCGGCCCCAATGGGCAAAACTCGCATAGTGAAGATCGGTAAGCATTTCGCTTACCGATCTTTGCTTTGCGACGCCCGCGGATCAGCTGTTCGGCGGTTCCAAAATGGCCACCGGACGCCCAAAATGGCCATGCGCAGCGTTTTCGCGCTCTCCCCTCGCTTACCGAGGGTGTGAAAATGGCTGCCGGACCCTGGAAACTTCGCTAAACGGTGAGTTTTGTGCCCATTGGGAATGTTCCAATGGGCTTCCCCGTTCCGTTTAGCAATGTTTTCACATAGCGAAGGTTAATCTGGAACAGATTAACCTCGCTATGCGGGGCACCACTGTAATTAAAAAAAATACTTTCTTTTATTGAAACTTGTATTGTGAAACCATACTTCATATGCAACCCTTACAGAGTTTGGAAAAGGAAGGAGACTAGATCTTTGCTATCCTCAGCAGAAGCAAAGATCTCCAACAGGACGTGCACTTCCTTCCACGTAACTGGAAGGAACTGGAGATCCACTCCAGATCTTTGCTTCAGCCAAGGAGACAAATATCTCGTCTTTTGCAACCTGGGGAGCCTCTTTCCTTAGTGATAGCCAGGGATGAGGACTCTTGACTGGGACCCCAAATTTTTAGTGTCAAGTCCTGAGTCCCAATCCTAAGGGAAAGCCAGGTGAATGACTTGTGACTCAGACTAGAGGCTTGGGCATCAACAGAGGAAGGGGACACCACAGAGGGTATTTTTTTTAAATGCTAGATTTAAATCTGACCATGGCGCATCCTCCTTAATCACATCGATCCCTCCCTCCCTCTTGGTTCTCTCCCTCTGTCCCTCTGGAGCCCCAAGGAAACCACTTCCCTGCCAAAAGTTAATTGAGTATGAACCTGTGAAAACCCCAAAGTATGAAGACTTGCCTAGAAAGAAAACCCATGTTTGGATTAAAATGATCAATCATCATCATGATTGCTTAGTATTGACTTTAAAAATTTTTACTTCTTTATCTTTGGAGGTTGGGTGGAGATAAGGAGAAAAAGAGCTGCTGGTGTTTTAGACCTGTAGCCACTGCACCATTTATGCAAGCCAAACAAGTAACAGCCACTGTTAAAACGCCCCGAAAGGGGGTTTTAAGGTCTAATTTGAGCTTTTCAGTTTACAAATTCTGACAAAATCTGTCTGTATTAATTGTGAAATTGTGAAAATGCATGATTTGGTTGAAAGCCAGTCATTTGATTTTACATATGGTTTTGTAGACAATACATGGTTCTTTTTTGCCACATGCTATCCAGTTAAAGTACCATATTTTCAAGTATACAATGTGTATATTGCACCTTTTTTTTCAAGCCATGGGACCAACCACAATTTATATTCATAGGAGGTACCATAATATTTTCAAGGATAATGGCTTTGAAAGGCCTTAAGTCAGTTCAGGGAATATCATATCAGTTTAAAACAAATTTTTGCAGCTCAAGTGAAGCACGCACAAGGGCCTTTCGCCCTTAAGGAACATAGCCCATGATTGCATGTGTGCATCCGTGCATGATCTCATGGAGATATTGAAGGTGGTGGATCATCGCATCTTAAAAATACTTCAGACATGGACATTGAAGTGCCATCATGTGATCCAGACCCAGCCACGTAATTTCCTATCAGAGCAAAGGTGTCCTTTCAGTCAAGAGAAGCTATGCCATGCCAAACAAAATGCATCTGATTCCTACCCAGAATCTTAACACCATTATTAATTAGGTCAAGGCAAACTGGATGGGCATTGCTGTTATTTCAAGAATTCCATGTTTAACATTACTCATGAAAATGCTGAACAGCATTTCAGAAAGAGGCTCCTCAAAGGGGCAGTTTCTTGTTTTTATTGTACTTTGATGTCCAGATGATGTGACTGGTTTACCAGTGAGAATGGCTTTAATGACTAGGAAAAAAAACAACTCCCTGGAAAAGACCCTGATGTTAGCAAAGTGTGAAGGCAAGAGGAGAAGGGGACAACAGAGGACAAGATGGTTGGACAGTGTCATCGAAACTACCAACATGAATTTGACCAATCTCTGGGAGGAAGTGGAAGACAGGAGGGCCTGGCATACTCTGCTCTATAGGGTCACGAAGAGTCAGATATGATTTAACGATTAAACAACAACAACAATGGACATATAAGCTCCAATGACATGTAAAAATTGGACTTTGATTTCTTTTATTTGTAAATTTGGTGATTTACTGTGTAAGAGTGTCGTAGCGCAGTGGTTAAACTACTATATTGCAGCCAAAACTGTGCTCACAACCTGGGGCTCAATCACAGGTAGCCGGCTCAAGGTTGACTCTGCCTTCCATCTTTCCGAGGTCAGTAAAATGAGTATCCAGCTCACTGGGAGAGCAATGTGTAGCCTGTATAATTAACATGTAAACTGCCCAGAGGGTGCTTGAAGTGCTATGGGGTGGTATATAAGCCGCACATTTTGCTCTTACTTTTTGCTTTATTTTAGTTCCTAAGGGAGCCCCTGAACTTGAAGTGCATCGGGGGTCCCAGGGTCTAAATTCAGCCCTGGATAGGAGTCGGAGAAAGTGTCTGTGCCTGTGTGTGAGAAAGATGTAATAATCTCACTTTCCTAGGACAATGCAAGTTTCCTTAGAAACAGGATGAGCAGCTTCAGACAGTCTTTTTAAAAGGACACAGAAAGAAATCCATCAACCAATGTGAAGGGTGCAGTGGGGAGTCCAAAGTGAAAAACAGCCCGTCCCTCCGTGATTGGGAGGAAGCACGTTCTTCACTTCTCCTTTGCCTCTGAATTAAAAATGGAATTCTTTTTTTCCTTTCAGGATCTCATCTCCAGCCACCTGAAGATTCTGGAGAAAGGGAGAGCCAAAATTTTAACATTTAAAGCAAAAACAGAACAAGAAAGCCAAGACTTACTTGTGAGTATCGGTGTCCCTAAAAAAGGGATCCGTGTTTTAAATCAGGATGTGGAAAATGCAAATATAACATGATCAGAATCCAGAGCCATGAGCCAATCCTCCTTCCTAGCACATTGTGACCTGACCCAACCCAGGCTTGTCACCTTTTAAAATATCTTTCCAGTCACGTGTTTGACACCAGCCAGTAACCACATTACCACCTGGTGGCTGAAGAATACTTCCCTTATAAGGTCTCAATCCATAGTTCTTCTGATTCATGGTCATCTGAGTTTATTAATGCAAATGTGTTCTTTTTGTGGGCTTTAGAAATGTCTCAGAAATGTTTAAAAATACTGGTACTGTATCTAAAATTAAAAGTTCACAGTCAACGCTGCATTCTTGGAATTTACTCTTGGAATTCTTTTGGCAGACCTGCTTCCAATTACATCGCTTATTTGATTAACCTATATTGGTCAGTCATCTGTTCAGTTGTTTGAAGCAGGTATTTGTTTGAAGTCAATAAATATTGTTGCCTTCACCGACCTCTACCTGTAGTTATCCTTGTAGTGTTGGTCTCTGCATCCAATCCACACCAAAATCAAGGCATCAATCGCTAAAGCATCCCTGGTTGATGGCCATCCATCCTCTTGTATAAAGAACTCCGTAAAAGGATAGTCCACCTCCATCTCAAGTATTTGTAAAAAGGTACCCAGAGAAAATAATCCTCTTCTGCTAATGTGTTTGTTACTCCCGGGATGGATGTATCTTAATCTTGGGGCCATAGTTTAAGTGTTCCACCTGCTAGAAGTCCACACTTGTAATGGGGTCCAGCTGGAGGGCATTGTTTTTGACTTCGCTCAAAGCCTTGCCATGTTATGGTGTGCATCGAAGAAGGGGGATAGATAATTAAAAGGAGTTAATGCAAGGACATTTGAAATGTGGATCCTTTTAGATGAGGGGATGGACAAATTCCAAACTATACATTCCTGCTTCTGGACGTTGGAGGGCTGCATCCATTCCTGCACCCGAACGTCAAATATATTTCTTAAATATTTTCAGCTGTTACAGCTCACTTGTATCCTAGTGGGAAAACATCTTTGTAGAAGTTTGAGGATGCAAGATCGAAGCTCTCAAAACATGGCAGAATCACACCACCACTCCCAAACCTGAGCCAAAAGAATCAATGAAAGAGAACTTTTTCATATATAAAAATGTAACTTTTGCAGAGTGGGATGAAAGGGGGGCTGGAGGTCCAGGAGCACAAAGGGCTATGATTGATCCCTGGGGCCATATGCTATGATTTATACGCTGAATACGCATGTGCACACATAGACATTGACCTATAGATAGATAGATGGAGATACAAAGATGGGGATAGATAGATATATAGATGGATATAGGCTTATTGGCCTACGCATCTCAGCGTCGTTTAGTCGTTTAGTCGTGTCCGACTCTTCGTGACCCCATGGACCAGAGCACGCCAGGCCCTCCTATCTTCTACTGCCTCCCGGAGTTGTGTCAAATTCATCTTGGTTGCTTCGCAGACACTGTCCAGCCATCTCATCCTCGGTCGTCCCCTTCTCCTCTTGCCATCACACTTTCCCAACATCAGGGTCTTTTCCAGGGAGTCTGTTCTTCTCATTAGATGGCCAAAGTACTGGAGCCTCAGCTTCAGGATCTGTCCTTCCAGTTGAGCACTCAGGGTTGATTTCCTTTAGAATTGATAGGTTTGTTCTCCTTGCAGTCCAGGGGATTCTCAAGAGTCTCCTCCAGCACCACAATTCAAAGGCATCAATTCTTCGGC